ACACCAAGATGGGTTCAACAAGTTTATTGGCAAAATGACAAACAAGAAATCTGACAAAAGACAGACCCCAAAACCCAAGGTGTGAAGTAATGAGGAAGTAGTGAAAGCTAAGTGGTAGTGACCTAATCATGAGTTGTAGGGATGTGCTGAGCTAAGGTTTTAGCAACATTGAGTTTTTGAGTGGTGTTGAGAACTAAATTAACCATATAAGCATCTGATGACCAATCCCCTAGGAATTTAATGAACAAGGGTGAAGCACCAGCATGAAAGGCAAAAGTAGCACCTCCCCTTCGGAAGCTGTGGGGAGAATATTGTGTGGGATCCAACCCAAGACTAACTATGCAAGACTTAAGGAATTTAGCAAAATGATTCCCTGTAACAGGCTTGAATCCTGTTGAGGTATGAATAGTAAATAAAGGTGCCTCAGTGTCCGCGGGTACATAGCGAAGATGACGTTTCAATGCGGAAACAGGACATAACACTGAGTGAGGGATGAATGGCAGAACAATTTCAAGGGCCCTCTGCCTAAACTGAATAGTTTTGGTTTTGTGTACATGGAGTGTACAGTGGTCTTGATGAAAGCTAACATCGCAAATTCTTAAGTGAGTAGCTGAAGCACTAGTAACATCGGCTATTGTGCTAGGAACTAAATTAGATTTACGCAACAATGAGAAAAATGCAACAAGAAAAATTGTCCACATGCAAACATGCAAGGGATGACGAAAATCCAACAACTTGAAAATGGCTAACAAAATGTCGACAGTAATAGGTAATTTACGCCCTACTGGTTTGGCTAGCACACGTTTGGCAGCCTGTTTGAGAAAATTAATCTGTGATGATGCAAAAAAGGTGACATCAGCTCCTAAGTATAGATCAACTTGCTTAAGGCAACTGAGATAATTGTTAACAGAAGTATATGAAGAAAAAGAACCTACAAGAAAGGCTAAATAGAGCCAATAGACCTGCTCAGTTACCGGAAAGGCTGGTAGGTCATAAGCTTTACAAAATAAGAAATAGGCTCTAAGTTGTGTTCTGCGGGTACGCATTGTTCCTTCACTAAGTGCTGATTTCTTGAACAGACCAAGGTAATGGACCAGGGATTCTGCAAAGTATGTAACAAATACCAATATTAAACGCCAGCAGGTTAAGTGCAGGTAAAGGAAAACAGCAGAGGATTAACTGTAACTGGCTGCAACTCAAGGGAAACTGTTAAGGCATGGAATCGTGATTGGTAGATGGCATCTGTGTGCCACCCACTAAGGCAATCTGCTAATGTGTTTTCATGTCCAGGAATGTGCACAGCCTTGAGCATGATGTTGGTAACTGCTGCTGTCAGCCATAATTCCCGTAAACAAGCTTGTAAGAAAACGTGCCTGCTACGCATAGAGTTTATCATTTCAACACATGCCTGGTTGTCACAGTGAATCATTATGCATCTGCCTTTTAACTTTAATTGCCATAGCTTGACTGCTACAACCACTGTGAGAAGTTCCAACTGCGTAATGGATAACTGCTGCTGAGTAATAATTGGCGGGAAGAGTTCATGGAAATATTTTCCTTCACAGATGGCTCCACATCCTGTCAGGCTAGCATCGGTGGAAAATAACTGTTCGCTGGATTCTAGAAACTCTGTACCTATCACTGAGACACCATTGTACTTGTCTAGAAAATGTAGCCACCACTGTAAGTCCAGTTTGAGCTCATATGACACAGGAATAGTTCTTCTACAAGAATCACAGTTGCGCAGTTCATTCAACAAACGCGACATAAAAGCCCGCCCAGGGCGCACGCAACTGCACACGTAACTTAATTTACCAGTGAGGACTTGCAATTGATGTTTAGTGGCTTGCTCCAGTTCAAGACAATGAGAAAGTTCAGCTCGCAATTCCAATAATCGAAACTCAGGAACCGATACAGTCATGTCATCCGTATTGAACCAAATTCCATGCACAAGCATTTGTGTGTTTGGCAATTGATCTTTGGCGGGGGAGGCTTCCAAGCCCAGTTCATCAAACAATTCAGTCATCCTTTTGAATGCTACACCTGCTAACTCTGCTAACTCAACGCCATAAAAGTCGTCAATGTAGACATCAGCAAGATAACCCTCTGTAGTTAATATATGAATCACTGCTTTTGTTACTTGCTGGCATACCAGAGTGGCCGAGCGAGGTCCAAAAGGAAAGCGTGTGTGAAAATATAGTTGATTGTTCACAACAAAACCAAACAAAGGAACATCCTTGGGATCCAGGGGCATTTGTCGGAAGGCCTGGGTAAGGTCCTTCTTGTAGATATGACAATGACATCCACGTAATCGAATGAAATGAGTCAGTCTATCAACACCTGGAAGTGTTAACTTGTATTCATGATTTAAATAACTATCCTTTGGTATTCCGGAATTAACTGATGCACTCTCAGGGAAGCTTAAGTCATGAACCACCCGTAACTTTGAACTGTCCCGTTTTGGCACTGTTTGTAACGGAGACACAACACATGGACAGGAAAATGGATTGCACGAAAATGGACCAATAATTGCTCCAGGAGCAAGTTCCTCAACGAGATAATCCATCAGACACAAATTGTTTTTGGTGGCAGAGGAGTGGTTATTCAAAGTAGACTGTGGCAACACATGTGACTGATAATTAATTGGCCAGCCGTAACGCAAGTATTGGACTATAATAAAATCATCATAATCATGCAGGTATGTGATCCAGTTGTCAATATTGAACGAGGTTTTAATGGGCACTTGTGCAAGAGCAAAATTGTAGTCGCCTGAACGCAAGACTGTTTCGATAATGTCAATGTTTTCAACTAGTCATTGTGGCTTTTGCTGAGCAGATTTGTTAGTTGGAATAGGATATCTCCGTTTAGCACAATGGAGCATGGGATGCCGATCAGAATCACATACTCTGCAGTGATGCATGTTCTTGTACTCTGGGTCAGTGATGTTACAAGAGCATTTGGCGGTACAATTCCAGTCAGTACAATAGATATCTTTCTGCTCTCTCCAAGGAGGGTCGCATTGCTGGCGTGGACCTGAAAACTTGGAGCCTGTATTCTGACTGGAACGAAGATCAGCGTGACTAAAGAAAGTATTCGATCGAGCTTGAATGACATCCATTTGACCCCAGGTAAGCCTACCTTGTGCCAACGCTTGGTTAATAGACAAATTAAAATTTCGAACACTCGGCCAGGAGTAGTTCATAGCTTTTTCCATAAGCGACTGGAGAAACTGAAGCAGATGTTGGTGTTGTGATTGCTGCTGTTGTTGAACAAACTCAAGAAAGGCAAACAAATTCTGAAATGTCAATTTTATCATAATCCAACGTACCTTTTGCGGAGAAAACAGTGTGCCCTTTAGCACTTGCTTTGAGCTGCTGCATAACCGGAAAGGTGGGATTTGCTAGCTGATTCTGCTCCTCTCGCGACAGTGGGGTCAGTTCATTCATGAGCGACGCAAGGATTTTTTCTTGCGACTGGTCGTGCATAAGTTGACCACGTGCATCAGCTAACATTTTGTCTTGTGTTGTTTGGGGTGCTTCTGCGCCGAGTTTTTCTTTCTGTGAAAGAAGCTTTAACTCCAGTTGAAGGTTTTGCTGTTTTAACCGCTCCAGCTCCAGTTGGTCTTGAATGTTGGCGGATTTTGTGGATTTTGTCTTTGCCACAGCGCCCGTCACAGCTGGCGTTGTCGCTGGGACCTGTGCAGCCGACTGAGCGGCCGCCGAGGTAGTCGCATTTGGATCAAAATCAGTAGGAAAAACCATAGCAGGAAAGTCATACACAAAATCTGGATTGAGTGGTTGTTTGACGGATCTTTTAGGCTTGGAAGCTGCCATGGTTGAGGATACTCAATTGAGGAAGCGTGGAGAGATGGCATTCCAAGAGTCGCCACAAATAAGCTGGAGTTCTTTCAATAAAAGCCGGTGGCTGAATGAAGGAAGTTTGTTTCCTTTAAGACGACTAAGGATAAACAGAGTTGCCTGGAGTAAGGAAGAGGCTCCTGGATCGATTTTGGACGGAGAGTGAACTGGCGAATGACAGAGATCACGGAGCGACTTTTGTCAAGGCCTAACGCTAGGAGATTGTCCAACAACTAAAGCACATGTAGAGGTGACATGATCAATTCTGGCCAATGACTGTTCTCCATTAATTACATGTTTTAACATAAATTAATACTACCCAATAACAATCTATGTTTACATTCACTTTAGCTTTTTTTGCAGGCCATTGATATTTTTCAACCTCTTTCCAGCTTTCACGGAAAGAGGAAGAATGAATTTGGAAGAAAGCATTCACAATGAAAATCCCTGACCGCAACTACGTCTACATGACTGTCAGGCGTTAGCGTCAAATTGATCTCTTTGCCTGCTTTGCAGCATACTTTTCATCTTTTTCCGAAAGAAAATGCATTTAAATTTCAAAGTCTTGAAGAAAACTTATGAACTATAAACCAGAAAACAGAATTCCCTGACCTTTCCTTCCATTCCTTTATTTACATGGTTTTACTCAAAACATTGTCCGCAAAATTGGAGATATTAAATTTGACAAAAAGAATTGAATTTTATTATTACAGAGAAATCCTGGTGTATTTATTATATGCTTCTACGTGCAGATTCTAATAAAGTCGAGAAAATAACAGATTGAATTGAATAATATGTAAATAAAACCACAGCAATAAACTTTATTTATAATACAGACATTGAATATGTTTTTAAACTTACTTGATACCAGGGAAGTCCAAATTCGTTGCTTGCTCGTAACTTGCGTTCGCCACTTACTAACTTGCGATCACAACTTACTAACTTGCGATCGCAACTTACCAACATGCGATCGCAAGTTAGTACAACTTACAAAAATAGCGATCGCACCTTAAACAATGTTAATTACAAGTTATGTGTTTTGGACATGCGTGTTGACTCTAGATCAGTGGAAACAAAGATGGTTGGTGAGCGTTTCTTCTGACCACTTTCTTCGTTTTGCTGAAAGTTTCAGATGGCTGGACTCTTCCAGATTATCTGCAAGCCGTAAGGAATATAAATGGCAACCATGAACGAAATTATTTGATCGAACAGTATTTTCACCTCGGTCTTAACTACTCCGAGATTATATCCTTTCTTCTCTTACGTCGCGGTGTTCGCTTAAGTCTACGTCAGCTGAAAAGGATTCTTAGATCTCGAGGGCTCCGACGAAGAAAGATTCAGTCTTTAATTGATAGGGTGGTAAATGCAGTAGACCAAGAGTTGCAGAGCAGTGGAAGTTGCATAGGTTATCGACAAATGCACCAGCGTCTACTAAGTGACCACGGGATTGTGATTGATCGAGACACAGTCCGACGAATAGTGAAGAGCCTAGATCCTCATGGCGTTGAGTTACGATCGAGGAAACGATTTAGAAGGAGGAGGTACGTGGTACCAGGCCCTAATTTCATATGGCATATCGATGGCTATGACAAGCTTAAGCCCTACGGGTTTTGCATTCACGGTGCTATTGACAGCTACAGTCCTCGCATATTGTGGTTGAAGGTAGGCCCCTCAAGCAATAACCCAATGGTAACGGTACAATGTTACCTCGATTGCGTGCGTCAGTTAGGTGGCTGTTCTCGGGTAGTACGAGGTGATTGTGGCACTGAAAACATACATATCGCAGCCGTCCAGCGATTTCTTAGATGTCACTGTCAGGATAACTTAGCTGGAAAAAAGAGCTTTTTGTATGGCAAATCTGTAGCCAACCAGAAGAATCGAACACCACACATTACAAAATTGCCGCCGATGAAAGTGATTTGGATGTTGTAGAAAATCTTTGTGGTACCTGACACCATCCTCTTGGCTGCTCTTCTTTGTTTGTGCGTTTAGCTGAACTCATTATGGAAGATATTGACTTACAATTGCCAAGAAACACGGAGGAAGCTGTGTATTTGTACCTGGAACTACTTCACCACATTGATAGCTTGTAAAAGGTATCCGCTCATTTGTTTGGATGCACACGTCGCAGAATGTGCTCCTTCCGGAATAAAACTCTGTCAATAGACCTTTTTACCGATACTGTGGCCATATTGAATTAGTTCGATTTAAGGAGTATTATAGGATGCCCAGGGGGCATGAGTACATTTCGTTTGTATTTTCGAGCGCTTTTCGGGACATTTTTTCTTAAAGTTTTCTTAGAATAAGATTGTAGTGGGAAAAAAGATCCTTGTGCCGTGTTTGGATGTAATAACAGTGATCGCCGTTTTCCCGAGAAATATACAGTGGAACGCCATACTTCTAGTAATAAACTAGAAAAAGGCGATCATTATTACATCCAAACACGGCACAAGGATCTTTTTTCCCATTACAATCTTATTCTAAGAAAACTTTAAGAAAAAATGTCCCGATGCCCCCTGGGCATCCTATAACACTCGTTAAATCGAATTAATTCCATATGGCCGCCGTATTGGTAAAAAGGTCTATTACGTTCGACAGAAACCAAGAATGGATTCCATTCAAGTTGTACAATCGTCCGTTACAGTGTCGTTTTTTGTCAGCGTTATCTTTTACTGTATGATATATAGAGAATATAACATGGCCGCTCGTAAGCAAATCGAACCAGTGAGAGATATTATCAACACGAAAAGATAAAATTCCTATCCACAAGCGGACATGTAATATTCTGCTTATTACATAGACCTCGATGAAAGATGAGCAATATCTATTACTACTCAGTTGGACGCTTTGTTAACAAGTCTATTTCGGGAGTGAGGGTAAGGCATTTTGAAGGTTTCGTTTTTCCTTTATGAAAATTCCCTTTCAGCATTGACCAACGGTAGTGTCGATGGAAGGGGGGGGGGGAGGAGTGATAGGGGACAAGAGAATGTTTTTTTCTGGGAGGATAGAGGTAAGCACGTGATTCATGTTTAAATTACCGAGTTTTGACTCACCATGAGTCTCCCACGACTCACGTGTACGCTGATACGTACAAATTGACAGTTGTATTAGGTTCCCATAATGCATGAACTTTGGACTAAATAGTTTGAGTTTCTCTTTTGGGGCAGTTGTTATGCAAGCTACTTTCAGTGTCATGGCTTTAGCTAGTCATTGGAGAGGCATGTTATTTTATCTTAATTCTGTTGTTTAAACTAAAGAAAATAGTAACTGACGAAGCTGTCCTTTTCCTCAAGTATCAGAATCGCCAAAGGAAATGATTATTTAAGAAATAGGACAGATGTATCGTGTTTCTATCGAGTTAAAGTATAAATCTACAAGCGTTCTATCACGAATGCCATAAATGCCGTTCTCTGATTGGCTACGCTACTCACTATCTATTCTGTTGTAGATACTGTAAACAAAATGACGGGTGCTTCTTTTCGTTTTCGAAGTGTCTATGGAGAGGATTTAGATAATGTTTTGATGACTATTAGATTTAAACTAAAACAATTAGATTATTCGCTCTCGATTTCTATGGGTAATAGTTGAGTCAGTCTGCAACGTCATCAATTATCACGCAATAGAAATCTCGTGCTCAAAATGTAACTGTTTGATGAAAACTAAGCGCGCGTCTTTTTTTCCAGCTATTTTCTCAAGTCATTTGGGGAAGCATGCCGGTTCATTTATCTTGATATCGTAACCCCAGGCAGACGAAACAGATGTACATAATGTGCACACAATGTTGAACGTACATCCTCAATCTCTCTTTACTTCTTGTTCTAGCTACAAAATGTAATAACTGTGGAGACGGTCCTTTTATTTAGGAATTGAAAGTCAACAGCAACCCAGCAACAGATTGTTGCAGAAACTGAAACAACTGAAATTGCTGTACTATTTGAACTACAGGCACAAAATTCTAACAAACCGATAAAAAAGGGCCAACCTCTCCGACTGCATACCTTTTCCACTCATGCTAATTTCGTCTCTTCGACAGTTTCAATCGCTAATTCTAAAGCAAACAGGAACAATTTCTGATGTTTAGCTCTAACATGAACTACAGCAAAACTTTGCTTCTCCGACTAACATGTATCAAATGTTCACGGTTCACGATCCGGACACGGAAATAACATGCCCGTAAGCATCTTCTGGTGACAGTCTGAAACCACTAATCAAACAATGTTGAATCCCCATGCTCCTTTTTCCCGTAGCAAGCTTGTGAACTCTTCGGTTAGTTCACTGTAGCTCTGGTAAGTTCTTGGTAACTCTAACAACGGGCCACAAGTGTGGGCAATCCATTGAGGTAAATGAAACTTCCAGGCGTTCAGGCTGTATATTGCTTCCCGTAGTGAATTTCAGCAAAGTGCCCAGAGCGGGAGCGTCCAGAGATCTAATGAACTTTTTAAGGTAGTCTAGGCACTGACTCTCGGCTTCATTTACTGGTTGACTTTGTAGCATTCTAGCAGTCTTCTTTTCTGACGGCATCTTGGCCGAAAAAAAGTCGTCCAGGCCAGTTGGGCTGCTGAACTCTGGGTACTGTTTGAGTTCTGCCAACACTGGAACCCAACATTGAGCTACGTATCTTGGCCTCTGTATCAATTCCTGATGCTTTAATTGTGACAGTATACTGTTAATGTTTCCTTTGGTGGGCATAGCAAAGGTTTTGTAGTGTCCCAGGAACTCGAGAACATCGTCATCATCACTCTCACAATCGCCTTTTCTAATTTTATCAAAGGTTTCACGTTCCTCGCTAGTGACGTAGAATCGAAAGGAGGATAAGAGGAATTCATCATCAATGCTCTCTTTACCAAACAGGCAGGAAGCAAGAAACGCCTTAGAAAGACTAATGGGGAAGTAATTGATTTCCTTGAAGCCGAAGACTAACACTCTTCCTATCGCTGTCCATTCGCTTTTTTGAAAGTCGTGACGAATACATGGAACCTTTTCTCTGTCGCCGACCATTGTAGCTGCAAACAACTGTTGCCAGAACGTGGCAATGACATCTCTTGTTACACCCGACCCTACACCTTCTTCAAGCTTTCCTCTTTCATCGATAATTCTGAAAGAAGAAATGCGATCCAACGAGTCTTTGTTCTTCGTCTTTCAAGCGTGAGCGGTGAACACAGTACACATCATCCACCTCTGCGAGACAATGAAATATGGCAAATGTAAGGGATCGTCTCTTCCGAGTACGCATTTTCATTGAGACACTGACCACAATAAATTTTAAAGAGAGGCAAAGGAGAGAGAGAATCTGGGTTGGGCGAAGCGGTAAGCTTCAGCTGGCTAGTCTAAAGGTGGCGGATTCCAAGGTCCCGGGTTCAAATCCTGTTTGGAAACCTTTTTTTTTTCTCGAGCTACTAACAAAAGGTTTGCGATTATTGGAAAATTAAAACAATATGGAGATTTCAATAAATTTATGCAAAGAAAAAGAAAAAATTGAGCGTGACACCCTGGAACATGACTTTTGGTAACGCTTCCATTGAAAGACAGATCGAATTGCACACCCACATTTGTTTTATTTGGAAGCACTAGTTCGCCTACAAATGCGAAAGATCAGTCTATCGCTTTGGCAGCCATTTTGTTTACAATGGTCCCTCCCTTCCGCAAAATACACTGGCCAGCGGAATTACCACAAAAAAGTTTACGATTCAGTGATTCTTCTTTTTCCCAACTAACTGCCCTAAGTCCCTCGAGCTACATTATCACTCGTTAATAACACCATAAACTGTCTTGAAAATATCTTTTGGACCCATGAAAGTTTGGTTGGTTTTCTTTTTCGTGATCACGAAAACGAAACTTTTTCTTACAATCATCACTTCCACTACAATTTTTGGGTACTTTTTAAAAAATTCTTGAGTGCGGCTCAATAGATTGTTTTGGATGGTTCTGTGACTTCTCATACTTGATAATGTACATATTTTGATCCGAAGATTTCATTGACATTGATTCAAATTAAACGATCAAACATACGAAATGTATGTTAAGAGAAAACTATTAAAAAGCTGCTTTAAAATGCTTGGTATCAAGTCACATTAAAAAAGGACTGTGATGGGATGTTACTTTAATGAGGAATACGGAATGAAGAAAGGCTATGAGGAATGGGAAATGAACAGGAAACTGGGAGTTGGGAATGGGAAATTAAAACTTGGGAAATGCAACATTATTGAAATTAATAATAATTATTAATTGTTGTTACTGTGAAGCTTATAAAAGCACGAACACCTAAAGTATTTTTGAAATGTTTATTGTAATATAACGGATGGGTGTCCACTGTTGAGGATGGAAAAAAATTAGTTTTCTTGTTGAAGCGCGAATTTTTTTCAGGCTTAATTCACTACTACTTGAGTTGTGTATATTACTTTGATGATCAATCATGTCTTCACATCTGTGTTTGTTATACAGGAATTCAGATGAACTGCTATGCCATCCTACATAAGCACTTGTGAACAGGGTTTTTTTTGGGGGGGGGAGGTATTTTGACGAACCAATCTAGTGCACCAGCCAACAAGTGCAACTAGGAAGGGATCATTTTTTGGTGAAGAATAATCGGACTTCCAAAAATTGATGAAAATGGTTACCATGAATGATCTGATAAACGCCCACTCTCAAATAAACGCCTTGTATCTAATAAACGCCCCCCCCCCCCCCCCCAGGTGTGAAATTTATATTAGACACTCCCCTCTAATAAACACCCTGTGTCTGATAGACGCCGCCCTCCCCCAAAGAATCGCCTTAAAAACCAAGGAAAACTTCCATAGATTAAAATCACAAAATTATTTTTTTTTTCTTGCTTGCTTGGTTAGCAATGGCTTGCGAATTGCATCTTCAACAAGGTTAAAGTACAGATAGCAGCTACAAGCACAACTCTCCGTATTGTATGAGCCCAACCTCCCAAACCCTTTCCAGGACATAACTGACTCGTACACCGAAGAGGCCAACGATGCCAACATGGTTGACCCCGATGACAATGAAGACATCGGTATTGAACTATGAACATCTTTAGCCTTTGCAGTAGGGCAGATTACATAAGTCTTTTACTCACAAACTTTGTTTTCCATCTTACTCCGTGAGCAAACTATGAGTCTAGCTTATTTGTTTTGTTGACATTGTTACAGTTTAAGTGAAATAAACGCCTGATACCTATTGAACGCCTCCCCCCCTCTACAACCCCCGAAATTGAAGACACTTCGGGCATTTATTAGATCATTTACACTAACTTTTGAAATGATATTGAAATGGGGTGCAAGTTCATTTGGGAAGGAATAGGGAAAATTGGGGTGTCGATTGTTAGGCAGAACTCACTCGTAAATGTTTGCATATATAGTGTCAATATATTCAGGCTATTTTGATCATGGAACCCATCTACAGGCCCAATTTGGATATTTGTATGACTAATAACTTATACTTACCTTGTGGCTGATTTGCAGGTTGCTGCTGTAGTGCAGATCTACAATTAGAAAATAACACACCTTTAACAAGGATCCAAAACTTGAGGTCTCTTATTACTGAAATCTTTCAAATTTCTTTAGTAATCACTTCACTGGCTGTAATAATATAAGGTGTAATACAGATACCTTTCTTCATCCAGTTCCATAAGTTGCTGGGGCAAAGTTTCAGTAACTGGATCAATGGCCAACAGTGAAAGACTTTCACAATCTTCATCATCAGTGGCAATTTCATCATGACTAGTACAAGTACCAAAGCCTATGAAACTGATCTCTGGGGAGCTTGTGCCCATTAGGAGTGGTTCATCCAAGGTCCTCATGTACATGACCACACCCTCCTAAGGTGATATAGTAGTTGCAGGGTGGACTTTGTAAACTGAAATGTTCTGGGTGTAGATCTAAGGAACCTAACCAATCGTAGACAGCCATCATCTTTTCCGCTGCTGAAAAGAATCGCGTTACTCTTCCCTGGAAAGGATGTTGTGCCACCATTAACACACGGGGAGAGCCAGTTCCCGGTTCAGCAGGAACTCTTGCAGCCTTTATGGACCGCAATTCCTCCAATTTGGAGAGTTCTTCAATTTCTCCCTCCAAAGCTGCTTGCTTTTTTCTATCCAGTTCAAGGCATTTTTGGAACTCTTCATCCTGTTCCTTTCTGAGGTTCCGCCACAATTTTCTTTCATTCTCAAGTTGGGCATGCAATTGATTACGCCAGGCCTTGCCTTTGTTTTGAGGAGTTCTGAATGACTGACTGTTGCTCGTTGAAGGTCCAAACACATTGGTCATCAGCACTTCATCATCAGAATCTTCACAGAGCTGGCATGTAAGATATAGCTGAACTCTTGTCAACTTGTAAGTTTCAAAATATCCTTGAATGGTGAAGGGTTGTTTATGCCCATCACTGTCTCCAAGTTTATTTATAGCTTCTCCTTTAAAATTAGCCAGACCAAAAGTAAAATCAGAAGCTTTTTCTATGAGTGCAACACCTTCTGCGAAAAAGACATCTTTACCCATCTCAATCAACTCTTGTTCTGTTTCGTCATTGGTCATTGGTCGCTACGGAGTCACGTGAGAAAGCGCACGAGCCCGGGAAGATCAGTTGTGTGCGATCCTTCGGGAAGGTCGGACGTTTGTTGTTTTGCTCGCTCAGTGTTGAGCGAACACCGAGAAAATCGCCGTATGGCTGCCGAAAATATCAGTGAAAGGGACCCCCTTTCACCGGCAGAAGAAGATAATTTACTTTCTGAAGAAAATGAGTCAGCGAATCCCTCGCACCAGGGCACAGACAAAGTGCTGGCTAACGTATTGTCGGCCATGACCCAAATGAGTTCCACCATGCTGTCCATGGAAAACGCAATGAAACGTTTAGCTGACGCACCAGAAGACCATGCTACACCACCGAAAAGGAGAAGACAACCTCCTGCACCTAGTACAATGAGCGATAGCGGAGATTCAGACCCTGAACAGTCAGATTCCGAGGCACTCAATTTCCCGCCCAACGGCGACCCGCCAAAACGGGACAGCTCTGTCACAGAGGACGCATTGCTCAATGAAATTGCTCAAGACTTTGAGTCGGACGAGCAAACTGACCCGAAAGTCGCTCAGAAATTGGCGGAAATCGTCAATAAGCGATGGGGCTCTAAGTTGCAAGAAGCCAAGTTAAAAGAAACATTGGCGAAATACAATCGACCTGATAATTGTGAGAAATTAACTGTGCCAAAGGTCAACCCCGAGATATGGAATAAGCTGAAGCACGGGACCAAGAGCGCGGATTTACGTCTTGCAAACATGCAGAAAGTACTGACACACTGCTGGCCATCCGTGCAGATCCTGAGAAGACTTCAGCATTGGCTCTCACGGAGAAATTGGGGAAATTAGTCACGTATAACGCTGACGCTCTGGCATTGTTAGGTCATGTAAACATTGAGCTGTCTTACCGTCGACGCGACACTATCAAACCAAACTTAAATGCCGAGTATTACGTGTCGTGTGGCTCTCAAGTACCCATCACGGGGTTGTTATTTGGCGATGAGTTGCACTCTCAGCTTAACAACATCAAAGCGACCAACAAAATTGGTCATACGACCACTGCCAAGTCATCTTATCGAAACCACAGCGAGGGCTGGAAGGGCAAATCCTCTCACTCTAGTGGAAAGCCTTTTTTAGGGAAGCGGGGCCGGTCTTACCGGCCACACAACAATTTCTACAAACCACGGGAAACCGCGAAGAAATCCAGCCAGTGAAACGATCTGATATTCCTACAGATAAGGTAAATATCTTACAGTATCTTGAGCACAAAGTTCACTGCTTTAAAGCAGGGGGGCTGAGAGAATATTATAATCAGTGGCAGGCCTTAACCTCAGACCCTGAGATATTGCAAATGATATTAGGCCAGCCAATTGAATTTACTCGGACTCCTTATCAAAGAGTTGTTCCCAAAGAGAAGAAAATCCTTGACTTGGATGAACAGTATGTCATTGATACCGAAATAGATAAACTACTTGCTAAAGGTGTTCTTACCCCAAGTAGTCACGAAGAAGGGGAATATATCTCTCCTATTTTCACTAGGGCCAAAAAGGATGGCTCCTTCAGAGTTATTTTAAATCTCAAGTGCCTAAACACTCATGTGCAATATCACCATTTTAAAATGGACTCACTTAATACTGTTTTACATATGGTAAAACCTGGGTGCTTTATGGCATCAATAGACTTAAAGGATGCTTATTATTCTGTACCTATCGCCACTGCAGACCAAAAATACCTGAAGTTTCAGTGGCGAGGAAAACTGTATAAGTATGTTTGCTTTCCAAATGGATTGGCATTTTGCCCCAGGAAGTTTACTAAATTATTAAAGCCAGTATATTCACATTTAAGACAGCTGGGTCACCTTTCAGCAAGTCATATTGATGACTCATATCTCCAGGGTGATGACTATGATGACTGTGAAAGAAATGTTTGGGATACTGTCAACTTATTTGATTCCCTTGGGTTTACTGTACACCCTGAAAAATCATGCTTTGTTCCGCAACAGCGAATCACCTTTATGGGCCTTATTATAGACTCAATTACAATGACAGTCTATCCAACTTCTGAGAAGATCGAGAAGATAATTCATACCTGTCAAGGCCTGTTGCAGTGTCCACAACCCACAATAAGAGAGGTGGCATCCACTCTTGGGTTGCTCATATCAAATTTTCCGGCAGCACAGCTGGGGCCCTTGCATTTTAGGTCACTGGACATGGACAAAACAGAGGCCTTGCGCTTAAACAAGGGTAACTTTGATGCATTTATGCAACTGTCTGAGTTGTCTCGCAATGATTTACAGTGGTGGGTAAACTCAGCAAGGTCTCTGCATAACCCTATAAGCCTTCCCCAGCCAGAGATCACTTTATACACAGATGCAAGTAAAGGAGGCTGGGGAGGAGTACTCAATAATGTCAAGATTGGGGGGCATTGGACCCCTGAAGAAGCTTCTAATCACATTAATTATCTTGAAATGCTTGCAGTGTTGTTTTCTCTCAAAGCATTTCATAAAGAACTATCAGGGAAGCATGTCCTTGTGCGAATTGATAACATGACTGCTGTGTCAGATTTAGGTAAAATGGGCACAAGCCATTCCAAAAAGCGAAATGATTTAACCCGTACGCTCTGGGAATGGTGCCTTGACAATAAAATGTGGTTAACCACAAGTCATATCCCGGGTAAAGCGAATACTCTAGCTGATGAAGAGTCCAGGAAATCTAGGAAAGAAACTGAATGGACCTTAGACAGAGGAATTTTCCACGAGGCTGTTAAGAAACTTCATGTTGAGCCTCAGATTGACCTATTTGCCTCTCGGCTTAATTACCAGTTAAGGCCATTTGTCGCCTACCAACCTGATCCTGAAGCAATTGCTATTAATGCCTTTTCAATCTCTTGGAAACCTTACATTTTTTATGCTTTTCCTCCTTTTAGTATCATCCCAAAAGTGTTACAGAAAATCCAAGCAGAGGAGGCCACAGGACTGTTGGTTGTGCCATGCTGGCCGACTCAGCCATGGTGGCCATCGGTAATAGGACTGCTGGTTCAGAAACCCCTTGTGCTTCCCAAAAAGAAACACACCTTATTTCTACCTCAACAACCAGACTTGGTGCATCCACTACACCAGAAACTCACCCTGCTGATATGCCACTTGTCCGGAAATCACTTGAAGGCAGAGGCCTTTCGGAATCAGCTACCTCACTCATCCTGCAGTCCTGGAGAAAGGGCACTAAACAACAATATAAACCATTCATCGCTAAATGGGAACAGTACTGTAGTCAAAGGCAGATTAATCCCTTTTCAGCCACTATAGAACATGGGATTAATTTCCTGGCAGAACTCTTCCAAACAGGGATTGGATATAGTGCTCTCAATACAGCCCGGTGTGCTTTATCTACTGTTTGTTTTACATCAGAGCATTACACTTTTGGACAGCATCCCTTAGTCTGTCGTTTCATCAAGGGAATCTTCGAATGCAGACCCTCTCTACCAAGGTATCAAGAAACTTGGGATGTGACAGTGGTATTAGCCTACCTAGCTAAACTAGGCCCACCTGAGAAACTTAGTCTGAAGAACTTGACTTTGAAAGTGGTTATGTTGATGGCATTGCTTTCAGGAGAGCGTCGCCAGACTCTGCACACATTATCAATTGATTGTATGCAAATGAGTGCTGATAAGTGTGTGTTTGCCATTAACTCATTGTTGAAAACTTCGAGACCTGGTAAACATTTATCTTGTATTGAGTTTCAGGCCTATGCACCAGATGTTAGTCTTTGTATTGTAAAGCATCTTCGGCAATATCTGAAGCGTACAGATATTCTTCGAAGTGATGTGAAGCAGCTTTTTATTAGTTACACTAAGCCTCACAAAGCTGTTTCCCCTGATACAGTAAGCCGGTGGATTAGGACTACATTGGTTGATGCTGGAATTGACACTTCAAAGTACAGTGCACACAGCACCAGATCAGCATCTACATCTGCAGCAAAGGGGAACAACATTTCTATTGCCACAATTATGAAAAGTGCTGGGTGGTCCCAGGAGTCCACATTTACAAAGTTTTATGACAAACCAGTGGCCCCTCGAGAGAATTTTGGGGCTGAACTCCTTAAAGCTGTATGTGGGGACAACTAAGATAGTTTCTTACGGTTGTATGTTTTGATGGCTAAGAGAGCATTATTATTAAAGCAGATTCATGTTGATATAAATCATTGCTGTTTATGGCTAAGAGAGCATGTTATTAAAGCAGATTCATGTTGATATAATCATTGCTGTTTATTTGAGTTCGCACTCACACTGCTTTAAAATCTCACGTGACTCCGTAGCGACCAATGACCAATGACGAAACAGAATACCAAAATTAAACGAGGCTTACCTGTAAGGTGAAGTTTGATTTGGGTTCTGTGAGTCATTGGTCGGGAGCGAAGGAGTCATGTGAGAAAGCGCACGAGCCCGGGAAGATCAGTCTTTAATAGATGTGAGCACTTACACCCAAGCATGGGTGGGTGAATAACACACGGGTAGGCACATGACTCCTTCGCTCCCGACCAATGACTCACAGAACCCAAATCAAACTTCACCTTACAGGTAAGCCTCGTTTAATTTTGGTATTTTGTTGCATTGAGTGGCACATCTAAAGTGCGGCTGCCACCTCCTCTAGCTTATCGTACTGAGACAAACTTGTTCTTACCCTTGTTGAATAGCATCAGTCCCAATGCAATTCTTCTGGTTTTGGGAGCTTTTGTTGTTGAACTTGTCTCTTCAGATGAACTTGCACTGGGACTTGTACTCAGACGTGTAGACTTTCTCTTTTGCTTATCTTGTTTCCCTTTATCATTTCTTCAACCAATTTGCGCTTTTTGTTTTCTCTCTCTAAACTGTCCTGGGCCCTGTTTTTTTGAGAACACAAGGCTTTCAAAGCATATATGTTCCCCTTTCTTGACAAACCCATCTGTTCCAATACATCCTCCGGGGTACAATCAATTGCAGAACAGTCT